TCTAAGCCATTCTTCGAACTGTAGTGGTTGCTGTACATGCTCCGAGAAACTTGAACATTCCGTAAGAACATGCCCAATCAAACCACAATGGTGACAAAAGGAAGGCAGCCTTTCATACTTGAGTAAACACTTTCTCGGTTGACCATTTGCATTCACCCCCATCTTAGCACACCTTCTCAAAGGTTTGGTGCAATCGATTTCCATCCTCACCCGCAGATAATCACCCATTCGACCCTCTCCTGGCCTAGTATCCGTAGCGATGGTTTTCCCCACTATATTCCCAATCTTTTCCGCTGTCTCAATACGCATAAGCCCCAACGGAAGTTCGTAAATCCTCATCCATACCTCCAAAGGACTAAAATCAAATTCCTCAAGATTCAAAGTAGGGTCGAAGTGAGCAATGGCCAACAAAGTTCCTTCAAAACTCCAAGGGGTGCGCTTTAGAATTGCTTGCTTATCGGCAAGAGTTTTAAATTTGAACAGGAACATTTGATCTTTGAGGATGCTAGAATCCGAGATCCTCGCATGCCCCCAAATAGAACGAAAGACCCTTAGAGCCGCCTCGCTGTCAACACGCTTGTATCCAATAATCTTAGCAACAATCCATTTATCCATCTCCACTAAATCATCATCGGAAATGACCCTTGGTGGGGAAATATCTTCTGATTCCTCCTCTATAAATTTGAAATGCTCCATAAGATAAGCCACCTCTTCAGACATAGTATCCGTATTGTAAACTATCAACAGAGACGAGAAAACTCCTTTCTTACACTCTTCAAGCACCCACACTTGGAAGGAATACAAGTTAAATTCACTAACAGTATACACAAGCTTCTTTTTGAAAAGGTGATAATAACAATCACCTTTCTTACTCTTAAGTCTCTTTCCCCACCTCCAACTTGTACTCTCCAAATCTTGACAAGTTAAATGTTGATCTGACTTTGCCCACCTACTTCCTCTATCAAATCTTAATAAAATCAGGTTAATAATATATCTCTTGGAGATTCTGACCATAATATAATAATTTAAAATTTCTAGGACTCCAAATCTGTTCAAAATCCCCCAGATTTTCCAGCCGAAGATTGTGTTCAAATAGTGAAAGCAAAACCTGCTCCTACAGTAAAACCAGTGACTGTCCGTACTATAGTTGCTGCATCTGCCATCTTGTTCTGCCTGACGGGACCTTAATTCCCCTCCCCGTGACTGGACTCTGCCACTCTCCCCCTCTATCTGAATCGAGCAGTAAGCTACAAAGACCATCCCCACTATGCCTAGATAAAAAGGATCCTGCCGAACTAGTTGTATCCAGTTAAATAAATTATAGAGAATTTCTTTCACCTGACACCATCTACATTCATACTCAAATCTCCAACCATACATCCGTATACCATATCTCCAAAAACATCTCCGAATCCATCCAAAAAACCATTTAATTATGATTTTTTGAAATGACTCTTCAACCAACACAAAACACATTTCCCTTAACATTTGCTGTAGTTCACTGTTAAACATCTCATATTCCAACCGCCCTACCACGTCACCTCTGAAACCCTGTTGAAAGTTCAAGCATTCCCAATTCCAATTGTAATTCCGAACTTGTTCACAGATTACTGTATACCGCCCACTAATTAAACCAATTTCTCCCTTAACGCATTTAGAAACCCAATTCCGATCATCTTCTTCTTTCCCTTGGCCAACTCTACCTTCTTTTTCCAGCTCCAATCTGTACCCTATTTCATCCTTAACAACCAATTTACCCATCTGTTTCCTATACCTAAAATCTCCCCTTACCTTCTTCCAATGCAACTCTTCTTTCTTAACTCCCCCACCTCTATGAACCCATGGATATTGATCTCATAAGATACAATCCCTCTCTCAAAGTCATTCCCTCGGCAACATCCTTTAAGAAGATCCTGCAAACATAAATCTCATGTAAAAAACTCCAATGATAACAAGAAAAGCTTTTACCTTCAACATTCTCCGCACAATAAGAACACCGAGAATGACTCTTGAATTTTGAAGAACACCACGCACAGCGCTTGAGACTTGAAGAAAACCAAGAATGTTCCTTAATTTTTGAGCAACTAACAAATCCTAAAGGACCAGAAGTTTGACTTAAAAACACTCGGACTTTGATAACACCTAACCGTTTTGAGATCCATGAATGAATCTCGACAACCATAAATCCATGAAAAACCATAGAAGAAACCTTTGAAACCAACCATTGACCCATATCGAAGAGAAAACCTAGAGAGAAGGGAGAGCACCAGTAGACATTGAAATGTCTGAAACGAGGACACTTTCTCCATCTTTTACATATTAAAATGTAGGGTAATGTACACAATTCATCCTTTGAATATAGGGTATTATTTTGTTGAATCCCCCAATTATTAAAAGTCACAAAATGGTTCCCTAACTATCAGTTGTTGCTTTGTTGAGTCTCTAGACTATTAAAAGTTATAAAATGATCACTCGACTATTTATATGTTCAAAATATGTCCTTTTTTGTTAAAAATATTGATGACAGTTTGAGTTGAATGTTAACTTATTGAGTGAGATATGATAGTCCTTTGAGATCAGATTTTATCATATTGCAATCAACAGGTTAACGTCCAGCTCAGATTATCGTCAAATTTTTTAACGGAAAATAACTAGTTTAGAACATATGAATAGTCAGATGATCATTTTATAACTTTTAATATTCGAAAAACTCAATAAAATATATCATATAATTAAAGAAATATTTCTTAACTTTTAAAAATCAGATGACATAACAAAGTAGCGTGCTATAATTTTTCCACCAACAAATAAAGGAAGTAACCTGCTGAGAGTGTAACAAATGAGCCGAAATTTTTGCCAGCAATGCAATGCCAGGCTGATCCATAAACTTTATCAAATTATTGTATAAAAAGCCCAAAGTGTTAACTATGAGACATGTGTATGGGACAAAAACAAGGTAATCAAATGTCTAAAATGATTAAATCTCACGGGACAGATTGGACTTAATTTTTTTATTAAGTAGAGATAATGACATTTTTAAGATAAATTTCAATACTTCAACTTACAACGGGGGAGATAATATAAATATTATTGACCACTCGATCAATTAATGTATTTTAAAAAATTATATTATTTAAATAGATTTATGTAATCATCATTAACCACTCAATCAATTAATGGATCTATAGAAAATTAAATTATTTGAATAGATTTATATAATCATCCTTGACCACTTGATCAACTAATGAATCTCTAGAAAATTATATTATTTAATAGATTTATGTAATATTCATAATTTAACTTTTCTTTTTCCATTTCAAGATTGTTAAGTAATAGCCAAAAATCCTAGTCGATGGTTTCATGTGCCCCTTAGCACATAGATTCAGCTGAAAGAAACCAACGGTATGAAGAAAGTGTTGCAAGAAGATTTTGTAAATATCAAATTACAGATTTAGTTCAATACTTGATATCATGTATGTGGAATTTTCATTACTTTAAACCCATGATTAGGTTAACAGTTTAAAGGTTTTTCCAAGGATATGAATGTGCTTTCGTAATTAGGACGTTGATGACTTGGATTATATCACCAACCAAATAGATGCAGTTTGCATTTTCTGAGGAACTATATATAAATATAACAGTATATAAATAATGCAACAATGTTCAAAGTCAAACGAAGGTGTCAACATGCAATACTCTGTGAAATTGGTGATGAAAAAGACAAATTTCTTGACTGTGTGAAAAAAAAGGAAGTATCACGTGTGTCAGTCTAATATACGGTTAAAGAAATGTGTTATCGAAAATATTATTATTATTTTAATATTTCTGGTAAAAAAATACCTAAAACATTATTATTTCTACAAAAAATATTATTATTGGGCGTTTTAACGGATTTATTAATATATTAATAAAACGCTACCTAAAATATTATTTTTTATATAGAAAATATTAATATTGAGCACTTTACCGGAAATGTTAAAAAACATTAATGTTTTAGGTAAAAGAAATAATGTTTTAGGTAATTTTTAACGGAAATATTAAAAAAATAATAATATTTTCGGTAACGTCTCTTTTTAGTCGTATACAGAAATTCCCGTGAAAAAGCTGCTAGACAATATTATGTCTTTTTACCTTCCCCAGCTGACTTCTTTATTTTAAGGAGATTGACTCTATGGCCTCCGATTTACAGCTGAGTCGTAATTTAAAGCTCTACTCTGATTCCTGGATAATTCCAACCAAACTTTGTAATGGAAAAAATCCAGGTGATACCAGGACATTAAATATGTAGATACGACATTAAAATTTTAATTAACATTAAATTTATAAAAATATATATTATTTATGAGTCATATTACGTGTAATTACGTCCTATGTACAAGACAGGTTTCAACTTGTCCAAGTAGGATCCATATGAATTCAATCATTTTTGTTTTTCCTATTTTCTACAGGCATGTAGATTATGAGAAATTTTGTAAAAGGTAAGTGACCTACCAAGACCAACTTTTTGAATAATTGAATATACGATATTCCCATTATAGTACTTAATTTGTTTTCTTCCCAGTATTTGACATCTTTTCAATCACCATGTTTCATCCCTTAACGTATTTCATAATTTTAATCGATAGTTATTAATATACTAATTAGTTTTGTAACTATCTAAATCAACTTACCTTGACCCTGTTTATTATATATTTTCATTTCATATTTATAATGACACAGTCTAACCTATATTGTTTTCTCATCTAAATTTTACATGTTCATTTACTGTTTTCTACACTAATAAATGTAAAATGGGTTGGTGAGAGTTGAATGTAATAAGAAACGAGTTGTTCTGGTTATATGCCACTATTTCTAACTTCTAACATCCACTTGTCCTCATTATCCAATATTAAAATTCTGTTTATTCAAAGCTTTAAGACCAAACCACAAGGCACTGTCCATGCTTTGCATCCCAGGTCTATATATACATATATAGGCATATCTTCTAACTGCATAATACACATATAGAAAAAATGGGTGACGATAGTGAAGTAGGTTCCGACCCTATAACGCCTCCAAGGGCAGTGACGCCGCCGGTATCTGCCCCTCCTTCACAGTTCCACTCTCCCTCTCTTTCTCGGTCACCACTTCTTTCCTCGGCTGATCATATAGAGCCAGAAGATAAAACACCTAAGAATTCAACTCCTAAGATTAGAACACCACGCTTTATTACTCCTTTGGGAAGTCCAATTAGAAAGGCTCTTCAGCTTACTAGGCTTGACCCACATGATGCTTGGCTCCCCATCACCGAGTCGAGAAACGGGAACCCGTATTACGCTGCGTTTCATACTCTTTGCTCAGGGATTGGTATTCAAGCCCTTGTTCTCCCTGTTGCCTTTACAATTCTTGGGTGGTAAGTAATCAATGGCATTTCTCCTAATTTTCATGATGCAATAGGTTGACTCTTCTTGTTAGCAGCTAAATAATTGTGGTTTTTCAGGACTTGGGGAATCATAACCTTGACTTTAGCCTTCATATGGCAACTTTACACCCTATACTTACTGGTGCAACTCCATGAATCTACTGAAACCGGAATGCGCTACAGCAGATACATGCAGCTTTGCAGTGTAACTTTAGGTACTGTCTTTCGATCATAAAACTTAAAATAAACGAAATTCGAACAATTCGAAACAAGTTAAATTTGAACTTATGATCCACGTATGTTGTAGGTGAGAAGTTAGCAAAATGGCTGGCTCTGTTCCCCATCATGTACCTATCAGGAGGAACATGCGTCGCCTTGATCATCATTGGGGGCCAAACTTGTAAGATGTTCTTTGATGTTGTATGTGGCGGAACATGCACAACTCAGCCACCAACCACCGTGGAATGGTTCTTAATTTTCACTTCTGTCGCGGTCCTTCTATCTCAGCTGCCTAACTTGAACTCGATAGCCGGTGTGTCACTAGTTGGAGCCATCACGGCTTTCGGTTACTGCACCCTGATCTGGGTTGTCTCGGTTGAGGGAATAATGACTGATGTATCATACAATCCGGTGCGAGGAAGTACCGAAGTTACTAGGACATTTGATGTTTTCAATGCTCTTGGGATCATTGCTTTTGCTTTCAGAGGTCACAATCTCATACTTGAGATTCAGGTAACATTACATAGGGGAAAAATGATTACCTTAACAATTAAAAATGGCCAAATTGTAAAGCAAATTTTGTTTGGTTTTTGCAGGCAACGATGCCTTCCGACGAGAAACATCCCTCGCGCGTCCCTATGTGGAAAGGAGTCAAGATTGCGTACACACTCGTTGCAATGTGCTTATTCCCTCTTGCAGTTGGAGGCTATTGGGCATATGGTCAAAGGGTACTACTATATCTTTCCCTTAAATGCTTGTTAAATCCGAATTAAATTTGGGTTTGTTTCATGCAATCACATTTAAAATGTTTGTTTATCATAAACAGATTCCGAAAGATGGGGGCATGTTGACGGCCTTGTTTGTATTCCATGGCCAAGATACCTCCCAATTCATCTTAGGATTAACAAGTTTATTTGTCATAATCAACGCGTTAAGCTCATTCCAAATCTACGCGATGCCTGCATTCGACGACATGGAATCTGTATACGTTAAGAAAAAGAAGAAGGCATTGCCGTGGTGGTCCCGAGCAATTCTTCGGGCAATGTTCGGGTATGGATGCTTCTTCGTGGCAGTAGCAATCCCATTCTTGGCAAGTTTTACTGGCCTAGTTGGAGGGATAGCATTGCCGGTGACCTTAGCTTATCCATGCTTCATGTGGCTTAAGGTTAAGAAACCAAAGGCTTTTAGCCCAACTTGGTGCATGAATTGGGTGTTAGGTCTCTTAGGGATGGCCCTAAGTGGGGTTTTGGTAGCTGCTGGACTTTATGTTGTTATTGATACGGGTGTACAAGTTAGCTTCTTCAATCCTCGATAATTATTAATTAATCAAGCAGTTAAATCGCTACTCAATCCATAGATAGGTTTTGTAAAAATCAGGATAAGAATCAAGAATCAATGTTGAACAAATATGGTGAAGCATCTAATTCATTCCACCAACCAAGTGTCATGCATTTATAGCGGAACCAATATTATATATTTGTTTATTTAATAATCTATCATTATATAATGTATTGCAGTCCAAAAACTTGTACACTAATAAATATAAATCCATAACCCATCAAAATTCTAAAGAACCAAGTAATTTAACTCCAAGTGTTCTAATAATTTCTGAAAGGTCATTGAAAAATTTAATTAAGAAGGAAAAGTGTGGATTTGGTTCAAGAGAAACGATGCTTCTCACTTTAATTATGCTCATCATGCATGCTTTTTGCATGGTTCTTTGAATATTCTGCATATAATTGTCAATGCCTTGGTTTTCCTTGCATATAATCGTAACGAGACAGACAGGGCAGCATATCGCATTTTCCCTATTACTTGTGTTTACACTCTGGACCCCCTTGGATGTGCTGTTGCAGAACTGGTTCACTTAAACGTCTTCAAGAATAATGAGCACCCAAAGTAGCCCTAGCCAATCCCAACAAGAATCTCATAAAAAGGAAGGGTTAGAACAAATTATTAAAACTAACAGGAAAATTAAATAGTAAGGACAAAATTAAGTTTAATTGTGTTGCGATATAAATTAATGGCTTATAAATAAGTCTGTTATGATTGATGTAATTGTAGAATAAATATCATCCTTTAAAGTTAACGTATATTTTTAATATTTGTACATCTGAAAAAGTAAGTGAAAACAATCGGTATTATTCTTTTTAAAGGAAAAAAAATTAACTCGAAAAATATAAAAAATCAATGTAAAAAATATGAAACCAAACTACCTAGTGTAGGAAAATTTAGAGACATTTTCATAAAAGAAAACGCAACATTATAATTCTCTAGAAAAATATTATATATAAGGACGGAATTAAAATCAAATTATAGAACGGTAAAAGATTTTTCAAAACAACCAATAATTTCATCATTGGATATATGCTAACACAAACAAGAAGAGATTGGCTGTGATAATAGCACACGTATTAGACTTGAAAGCTTAGTAATCCGTAGAAAACTAAAGGAAAAGTGGGATTTGACTTGCTTTGAACTTGCCGATGGGCATTGCATCAATGCTTTTAAAGTAAGAGCATCTGGTTCTTATCTTCATAATGATGCATACATATATAGTTCCGAAAAGAGTTTATGCTTAGAGGAATCATAAATTATTGCACTGAGAGTAAGCCTGCCTTTTGAGATGAACTGCACCCTGAGATTCCTTGGATCTTTATTTCTGAATTTCTGCTATAACGTTGAATTAAGTTTACTGCATTTGCTGAATGCTAAGGCTGGTGGCCTTTTGATTATGACTGGAATTTATCTGTTTGGTGTTAGCCACCATTGTCAATTATGTCCTTGGACCACCCTTCAAATGTAGTATTCAATAATGGATGTTTTCCCACATTCATACATAAACCCAGAGTGAAAGAAGGACAGTATTTTCATTAAATATTGCAAAAGAAAAAAAAAATACAGGAATAGATCTCAAAGCTTCATGTTCATAAACCCAGAAATCTCTTCTGCTGATCAGTGCAGTTTACATATGGCTATTCTTAGAAATAAAAGGCCTTGATAAGATGATAGAAGGACCAGATATGAAGAGAAATTAGTGACATTGCTGACAATATTCCTCCCAAATTCTTAAGCACCACCTGAAATGTAGAAGAGCAGAAAACAAATGTCAGGAACTTGCACTGAATACCTTTTAAATAGATTATGATGGCTTCCAAGATGAACTTACCGAAATCCCTTGGTGTCTTGCATCTAAAGCATTCGATCCTGCTAGCATAATTGTGAACTCCACACCCATATCTGTCTAAACAAAATTTCAGTCACTTTCACTTGATAAAATATTGTGATACAACGGTTATCAACTAGAAGCAAAATTGAGTGCCATAGATCTATCTCTAAACCCTGCCGAGTAGTTTCTTGAAAATTTTGCTTTTAGAAGATGAACACTATAATGGAATTCCTTATCTGCTGTCATTATATTTGAAGCTTCATAGTATCATTGCTTAGAAAATGGAAAAGAATGCGATATCAATCAAATGAAAATGTCAATGTAAACTCACCTGGTGCACATCCAGTCACCAGTTTTCCACCCAGGAGGGACACGGCTTTCAGATCCCATCATACTATAACCACCATAGTCATTTTTTCATGGTAGCACATCGATAGCAGTTTATTCGGCTAGCATAGTTGTGAGCTCCACAGTTCATGGCAGTGCAATACCAGTCTCCGGCCAAAATTTCGGTCCTGTTGTACAAGTAGGTCGATACATCAGGACCGCCATACTTGGGATAAGCGCAGCGTTGGCATGCCTCTCTCTTTTTGAAATTCTGGTGTTGGCAAGCTGCACACATCCAATCTCCCGTCCGGCTCATTTTCATCCCTGGTAAACTATATTTGAAACGACAAAATTAGATAAAAGAAATCAAACCACAGGACTCATTCTAGTGAAGCTCAAACAAGCTTAGAATGAAGAAGCTTACCTCCTTGGAAATTTAGGATCTGGAGAGGGGAAAAAAGTAGTAGCTGAATAAATAAATTGTTAGTGCAATTAGTGATTTAGGTGTTTTGGGTGGTAGGGCTATATATACTTGTTAAGGGGGGAGGGGGGAGGGGGGCGGGGATTGGTTTAAGGGTCATGGATGCCGGTCTGCCATTTCATCATGGGATTCTTAAAGCAGATATTTTTTTCCCTATTTTCTTTCTTTTAGAGAAGTGTTTGGATAAAACCTAGCTAAGCTCTTCATAGTTCTGATACTTTTCACTGTTCTTGGAAAGATGGCTTAGCAGTACACTGCATGTTATATGACTGCTGCATGCATTCATGAATGCATACTTTTGAAAATTGAAATTTCAAAGCCATGCATGCCACTGCCAGCCTCCTCTTTATGTGATTCCCTATCATTATTGAAGATATTCATTTTTTTCATTTTAATGTTATTATTATTATTATAATTATTATTATTATAATTATAATAATAATAATAATAATTATTATTAATATATATATTATTTAATATTACAAGCCCAAAATATAAGCCCATTTACAAAACCTGAAGCCCAAACCCAACCCGACCGAGAAACCCTAACCCTTTTAGGGTTTTCTGAAAATTCCAGCCGCCTCAGCCAACGGTCCAGCTTCCAGCCGCCTCTGCTGCCAGTGCCACGCCTCCATCGAAGCCTCCAGAAGACCCAGATGGTCACCCACGTTGCTACTCTAGCAGTGAGTCACCACATAGTTCGGTGAGTCACCGAAATCCGCTCTTCGGACCGGTCTGAGACGAGTGTCGGTGATGGCTATAAAGCCATCACCCAACCTGCAAAAAAAAAAGGCCCACAGAGAGACACACAGAGACAGAAAACAGAGAGCAAACGTTCCCCAACCAGCAAAAACCAAAACAGAAACAAAAAGAAAGAAAAGAAGCTTACCGAGGAAGTCACCGGATCTTTCAAACGTCATCAAAACCTTCGGAAACCGAAGGTATTTCTTTATATTCGCTCCGATCAAGAGCTATTTTTAAAAAAAAAAACGCTGGAACCGTCCTTAGGACGGTTCGATCTACCTAATAATGTAAAAATAAAATTTTCCGGCCACCGGATACGGTGGCCGGCGGTGAGGGTCACGGCGGCAGACGGTTGCCGTCCGGTGACCGGCTTCCCTCCGATGAGGGAAGCTAGAGAGAAGCCAGAGAGAAATTTGTTCTCTCTGTTAGAGAGAGAACAGAAATTAAGAAATGAGAAGCTGGCCCGTAGGGCCAGCCGGTTTCGGGTATTAATACCCTCTCCCAAACGACGTCGTTTTGGGGAGGGTATTTCTGTAATTTCATAAAGGGTAAACCCCGTCCGAAGCCATTCCAACTTGTAATTTTTACATTTTAGTCACTAAATCAAGTTTATAATCCTTTTAATTCGGTTCTTTAATTTCATTTTTATTTGTTTTAGTCCTTTATATTAAAATAATATATATAGGATAAATAACAGATTTAGTCCTATAATTTTAATAATTAATATTTTAATCTGAATAATATGTTTTAATTTATTTTAATCTAATATCCGAATTTTATATAGTTTATTTTAGTCATTAAATTAATAAAATAAAAAATAGTATGTTTAATCCCTATAATTTTGATTAATTATGAATTAGATTTTTAATCTTAATTTTATTATATTTTAGTCACTAATTTTAAATGTTTTCATTTATTTTACTACTTTTAAATATATCGTTCTAATTGTATTTTTATTGTTTTATTTGTTTATATATTTAAATACTTTTATTATTATATAGTTATAAATATATATAATAAATAATTATTTATATATATTTTTAATAAATTATTTTAATATTTATTTTTCAATATCGAAGAAAAGGACAGTCTTAATACAACTGGATGTCCTATTCTGATATTTTAAAATTAAAAATTATAAAAAATATTATTTAATTTAAATTAATATTTATCAATATCAATGAAAAGAGCTGTCTTAAGGCACCTAGAAGTCATTTTCCGATATTTTTAAGTATTTTTTTATATAATTTTGAAATAATAGGATTATAAATTAAATATATTTTAAATTTTTAAAATTTTTAATAATAGAGAAAATTTATAATTAAAAAGTACCAATTTTGGGCGTTGTAGGGGTGCTAATCCTTCCCTAAACGTAACCGACCACGAATCCCTTTTTATTATTAAAAAGAACGAATTTTTTTATTATAAACGCAGATCAGTTCATTTTTTAATTGATGTTTTCTTAAAACTCTTTTAAAAAATAATTTTTAGGTATTCGACCTACCTGACCCAAAAGGCCGATGGCGACTCCCAAATTATTTTCAAAACCATTTATTCACATCAATTTTCCCGCCAAATAAATATTTCGTGCCCGGATGAAAACCGGTTACGACAGCT